CTTCAACAGCACAGAAGGAAAGAAGGTAATACAAGGTGAAGGTATACCTAGTCTGATGATTAAGACTACACCCTAGGTCTGAACCCTAGTTTTGTCATTCACTGTGTACCTTGGGTGAAGTATCAGACCCTCTGTACCTTAGTGACTTTGAACTTAGACCTTCATTCCTTTAACAAATATAGTCTCCAACTTAACAGTGGTTCAACTTACAATTTTTACTTTATGATGGTACAAATGTGAAACGATACTCTGAATTTAGATCTTTTCCTGGGCTAGTGCTATGTAGTATAATACCTTCTTGTGATGCTGGGCTGTGGCAAAGAGCTTGTAGCTCTCAGTCAGCCATGATACTTTACAACGTACCAAGGTGCCGGACGATTTTGTCCACTTATAAGTGAAAGGAAGTGTTCTGTGCATGTTTCAGGTAGGCTAGGCTAAGATGTTCAGTAGATACATCAAATGCATATTCAACTTAATGATACTTTCAGTTTACGGAGTGTTTATTGGGATGTAACCCCATTCTGTATTATGAAGCACTCCTGTGACCCAGATTATACTGTGGGGATAAATTCCCTGGACTTGTACCCTAGACCACAGGGATACAGAAGAGCACAAAAGAGTATCCTCCTAGAGTTTAATAAAGGTCTGTGTTGGGAGTATAGGTTGGGGACTACTGTTTTAGTTAGTTACTTTGATTAGAGAGTGGGTTTAAACTTTAGATCTCTAGTTACTGATGTTCATATAAACTTAGACAAGTACCAACCTCAAGGATGACATTAAGATCTAAGTTCCACAAGAGGCAGAACACTGCCTTGTTCACCCTCTTCCTAGCAACGTGTGGATATACAAAGCCTTCAGTAAATACTTGCTTAATGAATAAATGACATTACTTTAGCATTACCTTAACACAGTTCTTGGTGCTTAGTAAGTGCTCAATAAATTGTAGATACTGAAGAAATAATATAACTATGTACACAATGTACATAGGTAACTGGATTTGAAACACTGATTTAAGTAGATACATATTCCATAATTCACCAGTTTAACTATTACATACACATATTGAAAGCAGCACACTGCTACATATAATCCTGTCAGTTTTGAAGCAAAGGATCTTTGCCACCTAATGGCAGAAAGACTTGGTCTCCAATGCCTACCTGTGGTTGTTACAAAGAAATTTATACAATAAGAGGGGGCAGTTATTGAAGCTATCTCTCAAAAAAGGAGGGACAGTTAAATAGCCTAAACTGCCTCCAACTGACTGTCCCACAAAAATTCTTACTAAACTCTCCCTAAAATAACCGTATGAATTCTACTACTTTGATGTAAATGTCCCTCCACTTTGTTTTATAGTAAAATAAGCACTATTTACTGAAAAATAAAAACCCACTTTGAATAACACAGTAAATGTTATGATTCCTGAAATTAGATTTTGATGTACTTTGTAAAACTATGACATTATTTTTGTTTAACTCTAACAGGTGATTTTTTTTT